CATATGTGGATACATACATGCTCAATATATAATTTTGCTGCTATATGATGGTCAAGTGAGAAACCAAGAACCATGTTTCTTTTCTAGGCTTTATTGTTAACTTTTAAAGATGGAGTCATTTATGCCATTTTTCTTGTGTAGTCAGCTGAGCCAATGGAGGAGAAAAACTGATGATGCCACTGTCTTCAATTGTTTTAGATTGATATGTTTCTCACATGTGAAGAACTTTGCCATATGTATGATATGAGTACTGAATCATTAGCATAATTGATAAGTTCTACAACATTCTAGTATGAAGTTGCATTAATATTCACTGTCTGATAATTTTGGACTTAATCTTGGTTTTGTAGATGAACAACAGTGAGGAATCCGCTACTAGCGACAACTCAAGCGAAGGATCGTCCATTTTGCCCTTGGCAGCTGCTGCTCTTTTGCTTTTAAAGTACCAAGCAGCAATAGCCAATGAGGCTCCTGTGGTGAACCCGGACCTCCCCTTCCAGAAGATGACCGGGTGACAGTGGATGGAAGTCAATTTGCGAAACGAAAGAAAGTGCTTGGACAATTTGCGTATGTCTCCTGATAACTTGCTGCGTTTGCATAACATTTTACTTGGATTTGGCTTGAAGGGTACACGAGAGACATGATCCCTCGAATGTTTAGGTATTTATTTGTGGACTTGTGCGCACAACCAGGCAACTAGAAGGAGCAGGGATAGATTCGAACGGTCTTTGGATACAGTTAGTAGGAAGACTAGTCATGTCGCCGAGGTTATGTGTAGGTGGGCACACTCTGTTCTTGTTCCAGCAGACAACAGTTATGTTGGAGTGAATTGGCAACTTGGCTCATATGCACCATTCTTCGATGGATGCATCGGGGTTTTGGATGACACACATGTCCAAGTTAGGGTGAACAAGGAGGCCAAAATTGACCATATAAATAGAAAAGAAAATATAATTATAAATGTCTGTGCCATTGTCGACATGGATGGACGCTTCATATATGTCGGTGTGGGGATGGCGGGTTCGGTGCATGACATGTCGGTTCTCAAAGAATGTTGGAAGAAACCAAACTTCCCGCATCCACCAACTGGTGAGTGACTACTGCCAATGAATCATGTATTGCATTGTTTGTTTAGCTTGTGCAGTCCATAAAACCTAATTGTGCAATTGGTTCATGTGTTGCAGGCCGCTACTATCTGTTGGACGCTGGTTACGCACTGGAGTCAGGATACATGGGTCCTTTCAGAAATACAAGGTACCATCCGAATGATTTTAGGGGTGTACTTGTAGAGACTATGTCTTGACAAGAGAAATTTAACTTGACTCATTCTAGGCTATGCAATGTTGCAGAACAGACATTTGGGGTTCTAAAAACCGGTGGCAGATTCTTGATGGGGTACCGTACTGTCATCGGACAAAGTAAAAGATGATTATAATTTCTTGCTTTGCACTCTACAATTACTTGTTCAGTAGGAAGCATGGATTAGGATCCCCAACCTACCCATTGTCTCCTTAAGTTTAGGTCAATGCTAGTAACAGTATGTCAACGGTTAGGGAGTTCATATCTTTGGGGATGTGGGGACAATGATTGTACAGAGGTGCTGCACCCATTGATGGTTGGGTCGTTGGCTTTTGCATGGGAACTGCCTTCATGTTTAATCTTATGTGCCTATAAAAGGGTACAAATTTTGTATAGATGCCACTTAGGTCAGTAGGTAAGTGTACTGGAATGGTACCAATTGAAAATTGTAGGATTGTATGCCAATGTAGGTTGATGTTATACATGGAATACATGCGCATATTAGAAGGCGCATGTTTCTGTAGGTGTTGCAAATATTTTGTGCAACTCCTACAAGTTTTGTAAATGCTTTAGTAATTCTCCAAGCAGTAGTGTTATGGACAACTCATGAATGTACTGCTGTAATAAATTGTTGTAATTTGATCTTAGGAATTCGAATGAGTTGTTGTAATTCCTGCAAATTAGTTCAACTAGCAGCTGTGCCTTATACTGTTGTTGTAACGAAGTGTTATTTCAATGGCCTTGGAAGCACATTTGAGTGAGATGTAATGAAATAGTATTAGAACTGGTTGGTACTAACTTGTATGTGTTAATATTGTTACCTGTTGACGGACATGTATTTGAATGGGTCTGAGAGTTGGCGCCAACTATAGTTCATTAACGCCATAATTTAATTTGAATCCAGTTCATTCAAATTAAATTACAGTAGCAGCTGGTTGGCTGGCTTGTGCTGGGCTGATTCAAATCAACTGATTGGCCAGCCAAGCCAGCCCAGCCATAGCTGAACAAAACGGTGAACAACGAACATGAACTGAGCTAGAGAATAGTAATAACAGTCCCAGGGAACTCGTGTGGTTTCAGAGACGTTTTGGCAAAACCCCTTCCAAGGCCTGGGTAGTACAGCTCCGGGAACTCACGAGGCGAAGCAGTTCAATTGTGTGCAGCTGCGGCCCAAATAGCACAAGCCGATCAAGACGGATATTTTCTGTGAACGTACTTGAGAATATTATTTTTTCTTAAAAAAGCATTGCATGTATACCTTGAAATCTGTTCAGTTGGATATACAAGGAAAGATAACGATTGTTATAAACTGACCACAAAGATTATAAGGAAAATTGGTTTCATAGCACCAAAAAAATGTGAGAATTGGAAAATACCACCGAAAGTTCGTCGTGCCATAAAATATGCCATCTAGCACTCTGTTACTTTCACTGTTAACGCCGTTGGTTGCGTCCGTCCGAGGACTCGGCTTCAGTGCATCACTCAAAAATAAAAAACGAGCAGGAGCGATGGGAGGACGTCAAGAACAGCCTTTATACGTCGCATCAACCTAGGCAGGCCTGCGGTGGTACAGCCTCGTCCCAGACAGCTTGGAGCTCAAGCCCAGCGCCTGTCCTTGCCTCGGACGCTGCCACCTAGCACTCCAGCGCCGACGCCCTACGCCGCCGGAGACGCACTCGCCCCGGCTCGCCGAAGCTACCTCCGCCGGAGCTGCGCCGCACCAGCGTGCGACTCCACCCACAGTAGCCAGCCGCCGGAGCTCGCCACCACGACCCACGGGCAACGGGGCCTTCCCGCCGCCACCCCGCTGCCCGGAGCTCCCCGCACTGGAGCCGAGTGCGGTTAGCACAGAGCACCCGTGCGCATAGAAGCCGACACCGCGCTGAAGGCCGGAGCTGAGTACCGCCGGCACCAAGGCAGTCGCCACCGCCGGTCTGCTCTCTCCTTTTCTTTCCGTCCGCTCGCCGCTCGGACAGGCGCCGCTAGTGGCGCTGTGCGCGACCGTGCTGTTGCGGTCGCGGTCCAGGAGCGACCGGCGATTCTTGCACCGGGTACCACCTCGCCGGACTCCGCCAAAACGAGCGATTTCGGCTTTCTCGCATGGAAAAGGACGACGTGTGCATGCACCAGCCCAATCGAACCGTGGATGTCCTGTGAGGACAACCGGCTGCTCGGCGTCCACTGATGTGCGTGCTCTCCCAAGAGGACGGTGGAGACGCACGATCCGTTGCTGTCCACGGGTGTCCAATCCGGCATTTTCGCTCACGCTGAGGCCCGCAATCGACGCAGTTACCTGCCCCCGCAGCTTCCGGTTGGCGGCACCCATCTCGGACGCGTTCGCGGTCGGCCAGCCGTCGACCACAGCGTCGAGGCCCACCGAGAACCCACATAGCTTGGGAGGTCGCGGGCGCCGCACGGCGCCACTAGCAGCATCGCCGCTGCTCTGCTCGCCATGTCACAGGCATTCGTCCTTTTTGGCTTCGGCAAACAGTCCGGCCGGCGAGTAGTAGATGGATGGAGGAGAAGAAGGAGCGTACGTCCCAGGCTCCCAGCGGGTGGAAGCTCCGAAGGTGACGGAACGTGATGGAATGCTACTTTCAGTTAACGTTTACATCTTTAAATGGTATTTTACGTGACAGAGCTTTTTCGATAGTATTTTTCAATTTTTATGATCTTTCAATGTTATAGAACTAATTTTCCCAAAATTATAACAAGAAAAATAGAAAAAAATGAAAATTAGAGAAAACATATAAGTGGCGTTTGGATATGGGAGGTGGGATAGGGTTAGGAAATTAAATAAATGGCTAGAATTACATGAGGTGTAAGAACGGATGACCAGGATTGAATATCTCATGTCCCTATCCCATCCAAACACCGTATAGTGATTCATTCCAATCCCAAAGTCGTTGCTTCCTCACTTGGCCTCCATGGGCTGGCGTCGCGTTCACTTCCTCTCTCGTGTCTTCTTTCCCTCTTCGTCAGGCCCTTCACCGACGTTCGCCGACGAGGAGCATTTACGACTTGTTCAAATCAGCTATCACATCATAGTGTCGTACGAAAGTGTTCAAATAGTAATAATAAAATAAATTACAAAAGTCATCACTATTCCGCAAGATAAATTTATTAAACCTAATTAATCCCTCATTAGCACATGTTTAACTTTTTACTGTAGCATCACACACCACATTATCAAATCATGAGCTCATTAGACTTAAAAAATTCATCTCATAAATTTATCACAATCTGTATAATTAGTTATTTTTTAATCTATATTTAATACTCTATGCATGTGTCAAACATGCCGCTCCATGAAACACCCTTCCCTCCTGTGTGCTAAACCAAGCACCTCAAACCCTGCCTAGGGCAAGCTATTTGTATCCGGATCTAATCCAGTTACAATCATATGCTTTATATATACACACTAACTTCGTTTTTTTTTTAAAAATATCAGGTGTACATATATGTCCTAAATTGGATCTGCCCCTCGGATGCGACATAACAGAAAAATTCAACAAAAATACAATCAGAAATACATGTCTAGATAGTAGTAGTCTAGATAAAAAAAAAATCCAGCACAATGAAATAAAATCAGTCAGGGTACGTTCATCAGCTAGCTCAGCATGTCAATGATCCATCTCAAGTTCTCAACAGAAGTCAACAGAAGAGCTGCCTTGGCCACACTAATTTCTTGTGTCATCACCCTAAGAGCTCACCATGTTGAACTGGAACCTAGAAAGCTGCTGCGGGATGGTGGAGATGACAGGCCCATATCGCTGCATTAATGTATAGAAACAAGTTTCAGAAACAAATTTTAACAAATTCTAACAAATTCTTGAAACTTGAAAAGCACAACACAATAACAGAATTAACACCCCTGGTGATGGCCAAACAAAAAAAGGAAAACCATGTACAACAATTATGGCTGGAAAGGCTCACAAGAACAGATTTGGTCTGAATATCAATAAACTGCATATTTCAATTATCATACTAGCAATACTACTTTCCTATATAAATGGTCAAGTAACAAGTAAACTTCTGTTGCTGGAACCAGAGTGATGTATATTAAAGAACTGACAACACAAAGGGATAGTCCCTCCGGCCCAGTTTATAGGTCACTTTAGCTTTATACCAAGTCAAAATTCTCTAGCTTTGACCAAACCTTTAGAAAAAAATATATAACGTATACAAGTTGAAATAAATGTACTATCAAGACATCTCATGGAGAATTTAGTGAAAGTGTGAAACTAATTATGTTGTACTCCCTCCGTTCCAAATTATAAGTCACTTTGACTTTTTTGGTTTATCCATTTTACTATGTATTTACACATATTATTATATCTAGATGTATAGCAAAATGGATGTACCAAAAAAGTCAAATCGACTTATAATTTGGAACGGAGGAGTACATGTTTGTGGATTTTTCTACAAAGTTAGAGAAGTTTGATTTAGGACAAAGCTAAAGTAACCTATATTGAGTTAAAAAAACTATATTTGGAACAGAGGTAGTAGAAAACAAACAAAGGTTAATCAGAACAAAATATGTAAAACAAGAATGCCTTGTGGAATCTCTACTTTAAAAAATAAATTTACTGCCCTTCCCCAGAACTGATAACTTAATGGATGAGTAAGGGTTCCCAAAGTTCCTGTCAGACATCATCGACAATAGGACTATGAATGGAGTCTCCTATGAATGTTACATTACCTGAACATTGTCGTAGAGTTCAAACAGTGGAACAGCAAGCAGCTTCAAATTCCTTGGAACGGCAAAATACTCTCTTTCGGATAGGTGAACAATGAAAAGTTTCTTGCACTCCTGTTCAACAAATTGGTCATTCCAATTATGATCCTAACAGCATAGGTAAGAAATGCTCCCAAAGCAACAATGTACCTTGGGCTTGGTGATATGTGGAGGGCAGTAAGGATACATCACAGTCTCAAAGTTTGGCCTCCACCACACGGCAACACACTCTCCAACCTGGAAGTGACAAGCATGTTACACCTTTTTTTAACTATGGGAAGATATTTAAGCTGCCCTATCTCAACCTTTTGGAGGCATCATATGATATTTTTAACAACATGTAAAACAGGAACATAGTGCCCAGATATTTACTGTGGCCAGTCAGGCATAAACCTAAGTATTTGAGCATGTACGTGGTGACATAATGAGTCCTTGACTTCCATCTTATGATGAAAGTTAACCATATTTACCTACATATTTGATACTTCTACACAAAATTTTCTATGTGAAGAAATAGAGATGGAAAAAGATAGCATCACACTAAGCAAGGAGGGTATGCCAGTTTGTATGTCAAATCTTGAAGCCTGTGATACTGATAATGTGCAAATAACCAACCGTGCCAAAGTTTCCACTGATGCATACCACAATATAGAACATCAAAAGCTATAGGTTTGGTATTATATGCTCTAAATATTAAAGGGCAACAGGGAGGAAGACAAATTGTGAGTTGAGGACGATTTGAGGAAAGCAGAAAGCCTGGATATCCGATGCATTTTCTCCTTCTCTAGAATCTAGATTAACATTAAATCACCCTATATGAATCAGATATGTTGGGATGAAAAGGTTTATGATCTTCTAGGCAACCATGTAGATAATTACCATTCAGCATGATATAAACTAGAAAACGGTCAGATACTACTAAATTATGGCAAATTCCAACATGCCATGACTAACAGATAACAAACTATCTCATATCTCTTTCTTCAATGCATTACCTGCCAGTTAGGTGGAAAGGAAGGGGAGTTCACAGCCAATTTGCTGCACAACTTTCTTTTCAAACCCTCGATTTCTGCATGTAACAGTCCCGTCACATGAGTCAGTAAACATATACATAACTATATAGAATTAGCATTAGAATGGATCAGACAGAAGTTGGGCACAGATACTCACCATTTTCTCCAGGCTTCAACCGTCCACCAGGAAGTTTGCAGAATGTATTTCCGATTTGCAAGAGCAGTATGTGAGGGTGGTTGTGTTCTTGCACCTATAAGATAGTGACAAATGAAGATATTAGGTTTTCTTTTCAAGTTACAAAATTCATTAATAGGCTAACTATCATAAATTACTTCAAGTTCACAAGCCATTTGACATCTCATTCAAAAAAGGAGTAAAAAAAAAGGGCGTACCCAGTGCAGAGAGCTCCCGCTCTGTGCGGGGTCTGGGGAAGGGTGTTAGTGGCAAGCCTTACCCTCGCCTGTGCAATGCGAGGAGACCGCGACTCGAACCCGAGACCTTCCGGTCACAGGCGGTAAGACTCTACTGCTTGCACCAGGCCCGCCCTTCTCATTCAAAAAAGGAGTCTTTTAAGGAAATACTGATGAAAAAGATACGTACCAATAGGATTGCTTCAACACTTGTACGCATTCCTTCTTTCATGTAGCTGTCATACACAGAAGTGAGTAGCAATTAACTTACGGTGCATTGGATGGAACAAACTTACAAGCACATAACTACCAAGAGAGCCTGACTTTTGGAAATTGGAATGTTTTTATAAAAAGACAAATAAATATAGAGTTCACTGTTTAAGACACAGGAGTATGGGCATCTATCAAAAGAAATAGATTTACAGTTTAATTACCATACTGTTTGTTACAAACAACTGAATGAAAAAGCCAATTTTAAAAATTTACTTCCTTTCTGGTGTATTTGACCTGACGAAACTCTGCACCATTGCCTTTACAGATACAGTTGTGTGGTAAAGCTATTTGTGGCGTGCTCAAATAATTAAAGAATTTCCTCATGATAATAGAATGATTGACTACAAAGGTTTGTCCTACAATGACTAAAACATGAAAGGCTGGAACTATTCACCAAGTATAGCAATTTATGCCGGTACAGTTAACCTGCTGCAGACAACAAAATAGGCATCCAATAATGTCTACTTGAAAGTAACACCGCCTAAAGCAGGCAGAGGAATGTCCTAATTTCAAAACTAAAGCATTCTAAATGTCTGCCTCTGCTGTTATCCAAAATGTAGTGTAAACTCTGCTACCCACCACCTAATATACTCTCCACTCAACTGAAAACTTCAACAAACAAGATAAAAGAACCAACAAAATTCAACCTTAATACAATGTTTTCATATATCGGCAATTTTTTCCCTTCAAGGAGCCATGTCGCACAAATGCACAATATGCGAGAATCCCCATCTAACAGGATATGTCCCATTCGAATAATTTACAGAAATGATCCAGGTACGTGCAACAACGTCGCTGCCAACAGTAGACTGAGAAACGTTGCCTACTACTCTCCAGTTCAAGCAACTCTCCGCGCCAACTTGCAAACTAACCCAAGTAGTTCTGTGATCTGAGCGCTAGGGTTTAGGGTTTCCGGCGAGTGTAAGAAACCTAGCCACCTAGGGTTTGGGTCGGGACGGCGGAAGGGGTCCGAACCAAGCACGAGCGGAGCGCACTTACTTGACCTTCATGCGGGCAAGGCGGTCTGCGACGGAGGTGTCCTTCTCCATCTTGGGCTCCTTGGTGCCGAACGTGTAGTTGGCGAGCGGGTACACGTTCACCACCGGCGACGAGGAGCTCACCATCTTCTCCCCACCTCCTTGGATCGAGCGAGATCTTCTCCCTCCTCCTCGGGCTCCGGCGGTCGCCGGTGGCGGCGGGGTGGCGGCGGGGCAGAGGCTGCTGGGCGCTGCTCGAATCGACCGCCGGCGGTTTGGGAGGCGTTGCGAAGGATCTCGATCACAACTGGACAGGGTTTCGTTTATAGAGGGATGGACAGGATGGTCCGAAACTCCGGCAGCTGTTAACGTCAGCCGTCCGATCCATCTCGAAGCCGTTCCAGTCAACTTGTTCGATTACTGAAGTGTCTCGTAGCAGCCTAGCGGACTGCAGGAACTATAAACGTTTACGTTTTTGTTTTTGTTTTCAAAATACGATTTAGTAAACGCTTACGAATTTCACTGTATTCGTTTATGAAAACTGATCAAAATAGAACATAAAAAATCGATTCCAAATCAGGTAGCGCTTGACGATTTGTTCGACTGATAAGCCGGCTGAAGCTGATTTGTTGCGAGAGAAAATCACTTGGTTGATAAGCCAGTTGATAAGCAAATAAAAGGACGTCAATCGGATATACTCGTGTTGTTTATGACTGTGAACTATCCAAAGTCAGTCTCGGCACAGTACTAACGCAGCTGTGTAAAACGGAATTATGATGCTCACAAATCACAGTCCACTTGTTAAGAAATTAAAAATGCAATCTGCCACTCTTGCTGACTTATGTTTCCCAGTGAGTACAGCAGCAGCCCAATTGGCAATTTGCCATTGCAGGCTTTCAGGGGATTATTTATGTTCGATTATGAAAACCGATCAAGTACTACATAAAAGGTCGATTTCCAAATCAGGTAGTACTTCACAATTCGATTGGATACTCTCTCTCTCTCTCTTTAAAAAGGAAAGGCTTTCATTCATTATAATGACCGTTTGTGAGCCAAAGACAGTCCCAGTACAGTAGTAGCACTGCTCTGTTACATATGGATGCTTCAAAAAGCTGTGATGCATATGAGAACAGGAGTACCATGTTAAACGGAATTTGATCCTCAAAGTCCACAAGTCATCATCATCGACACTATTTTACAAAGTGCAATCTGCTACTCTTGCTAACTTGAGTTTCCCTAGTACAAGCAGCAGCCCAATTTGCCACTGCAAAGCCTTTTCTTTTCTTCGCCACCGTGCTCGTGTCAGTGCAAGCCTTCAGGAATGAACTAAACCTCCTGTATTTTTTCGTAGTTCGGTTACAGAATCAAAACCTGACCGAAGAAAACCAAAAGAATCAGCTTATTCGACAGCCAAGTCAAGGTTATATCACATACAGCATCTGAGTTCATGTCAATGACACACACATCTCATCACCAGTTGACTCAACTACGGGAGTGCTTGGAACTTTCACAAGGTTCCCTCGCCTCGCCTCACCCGGATGGCACAGGCCCCGAGATTCTTGCCAGCCCGGGAGAGCCGATTTGGCTCTCTTGTGGAACATGCGGCCAGTTTCGATTTCTAGCTCGGTGAGGCGATACAGTACTCGGCAAGGAATCCAAACATGCCCATCTGCTATCGCGTCCTCGGTTCATCCGAGGCCAGCTTCAATCCTACACCCGCCAAGCAGTGCCCTCCAGACTTCAGAATCAGGTCGACAAGGCATGCCCTGCAGCACGGTCACCGCTTCGTCGACATGGCCGCTGCAGGATAGCAGATCGATCAAGCAGGTGTAGTGCTGCAACGACGGGGGGATGCAATAGTCCTTCTGCATCATGTCAAACATCCTGCGGCCTTCGTCGACGAGAGACCAGCACCTGCACGCCAGCAGGACGCCCATGAAGGTGAAGTGGTTGGGCCGGAACCCTTGTTTCCTCATGACACCAAACAGCCTGAGTGCGTCATCGGCTCGTCTATGCATGGCGAGGGCTCTGGTCATAACATTCCACGAGAAGACATCCTTGCTGTCCATCTTCAGGAAGACGACGAATGCCCGGCCCACGTCGCCGCACACGGCGTACATCTCGACCAAGGCTGTCCCAACCTCAGCATGGACCTGGAGTGCCGGAGTCACTAGGTTGGCATGGATCCATCGGCCGAGCCTCAGCTTCCACAAGTTCTCACAGGCCGAGAGAACCGAGACGACGGTGAAGCTGTCCGGGTTGAGACCTTCAAGCAGCATCCGGGGAAACATCTGGAGCGCCTGCCAGAACCTTCCGTGCCTGGTGTAGCTCGAGAGGATGCAGTTCCAGGACACCAGGTTCCTCTCAGGCATCCGGTTGAACAGACCCCTCATGCCAGCGAAATCCCCCGCGTCAGACAGCGCCCTGATCATCGTCGTCCACGATATGACGTCCTTCACCGGCATCGCCGCGAACAGCTCCTTCGCCGCCACGACGTCCGCCGCCCTGACGTACGCGGTGAGCATCGCGTTCCACGACACGACATCCCTGGCCTCCATCGCGTCGAAACACCTCCCGCGCACTCCTCACGTCTCCGGCCCTGACGTACACCGACACCATCCGGTTGGAGAGGCCGACGGACCTGTCGCGGAAGCCGTCGAACACCCGCCTCGCGTCGCCCAGCGACCCGTGGGCGACGTAGAACGCGAGCAGCGAGCTGCCGACGGCCGGCACTGCGGCGAGCCCCTCCTTCAGGACGCGGCAAGAATCAGCAGAAATATCCCCAACCCTAAACCAAGCTTGTTGAAGCACTCCTTTTTCCCCAATTCTTGAAGACTACTGCTCAACTTTCATGAGAGCATCCACATCATTCATAGCAAAGGCTTTGAATTTACCCCAATCACTGACCATCTTAGCATTAGGGAACCTCAATACAAACCTATTTTCCCCGGCCTGTCTAGCATTCCACTTCCAAGAGTTAGATCCAACCAGATACATAGACTGTTGTTCTATTTATTTCGCAGTGGCATGACCCTGAATAATGTTGATAACACCGATACATTCTTTCTCTCTAGCAACCCTAGGATCAACACACTCCTCAATGAAGAAAAAGCTTCGGTCCTCTACCTGTGCAGCACGTAGCTCTGGTCCAGTGTTCCATAACACACACCTCTTGCGATCATAAGTGGAATGATTGGTATAGCCATAGATCTCACATAGCAACCTTCTACAGTCTTTGGTGATTGAAAAGCCCACAAACATCACAAGCTATCCTTGTTAGATTGATCTTTAATTCTAAATTGGGCCCAACGGCCCAGTTAGGCATTTGATCCGCGCCCTGATCGGGGGCGCCCAGCCCACTATGGTTGGAGGGCCCCTGTCACACTATGCAATAAATAGAGGTGGGGGCCGGCGGCTCTGTGTACGAGGTTCGCCTGAGCCGAGCTCCCCACCGAAACCTACAGCATGTTCGCTTGCTCATAAACGATCGTAAATTTCCAGCCGGAACAGTGTTTTTCTCTCACACCAAACCAGTCAGCAGTAAATAATCCACGATACGATACGGCCTCCCGAACAGGCTGCTAAACCCTAACCCGATCAGAGAAGGCGCAGCTAGTGACGGGAAGCCACCAGCTGCGCCGCCCCGCTCCACCGACGTCGACGACTTCATCGCTTTCTTCACCGACCGTCGCTGCCCTCGCGTAGACACCGGCACAACAACCATGGGCGACACCTCTGGATCGAAGGCCTACGATGGTCGGTAACATAGCACTACTCCTCCCTCTAATCTCTGTCTAATAGACGTACTAGGACATGTTATCCATTTACAAGATGTATCTATGACTATGTGCTCATGATAAATCATAACATTGGTACCAGAGCCAGGTTCTATTGAGTAGATCTCGGTATGGGTATGAATAGGAAAGAAAAGAAATCAAATGAAAGAGATGAACCGAATCGAACGAATCGAATCAGGAAAAGAAACCCTAACCCTAACCGAACCCTAATCTCGATCCTAACCCCATCCCCAACCCTAAATCAGATAAATCCGAGAAGAGAAGAAAGGAAAATCAAAGAAAAGAAAAGGGGAAGGGGAAGAGGCCTACCTCGCCGCCGCACCGTGCTGCCGCCTCGCCGCCGCGCGGGAAGACGGCCGAGCCGTGCGAGCTCCGGCAAAGGGCACCGCCGCTAGTCCGCTCGACGGCGGCGCGCTCACCCGCGTGGGAAGCGCACGCGCCGGCAAAGGGCGCGGCGACGAAGCCATGCTTCACTGCGTCTCGCGTTTCGCTCGGTCGCCGCTCGCTGCTGCTGCGCTGAGGAAGGAGAGCGGCGAAGAGAGAGGAAGGGAGGCAGCGAATGACCTAGGGTTCAAGGTGACGACGCCGTCGCCGGGGTTTTGTTCATACGAAGCGTGCGCTCGGCCGTCCGATCTACATCGACGGTGCGGAAGCCACGGGCCGGACGCTGGCCCAGGCGGGCGCGAGCGGGCGAGCCGCTTTCCTGGCCCAGGCCCAGGTTGCGGCCTGGGTGGGAGCCGCGCACGCGCGCGCAAGACAGGCCGGGCCGCTTTCTTGGTCGGGCCGAAGGAACAATATTGATTTTATTTTTCTAAAAACTTTTTGATACATATTCGATGAATTTCAATTGAATTTTGATGTCCAACTCTGCACAATTTTGATCCAACGATAATTTTGTTCAGAGAAAAGTACAGTACTATAAAGTTTCTGTTAAAATAATAATGAGAATATTTATGCTTTCTGCTGCGTATTTAAAATTGTTATTTTCATTATTAAATTCGAACCAACAGAAGAATTTAATTTTGAAAAATGGATATGTTTTTAGTGTATTATAATATTGTTATTATTTTGACCAACGTTGATTAATGGCAATATTATGATGTTATTTATGAGTTTTGTCATGCATTAATTCTATTTCTGCCTAACGGTGATGTAGAATTAGTGTAGAGGACAATTGTATATTTTAGTTTTGATCAACGTTGGAACTAAGGCATGCAATTGTTATTATTATGTTTATATTCTTACTCTATATAAATTGTGTTTTCAGGCGGATACAACTTGATGGGTTGTATCAAAGAGATCCCCACTCTCAAAGGTGACAAATACACGGAGTGAAAGAAAAAGATTGAC